TAACACAAATCTTTGATATTTTCTTAGTAAGAATCCGAGTATCTACTTTCTCAAAAGGCAACGTGCACACATTATAGAATTATTGGATAATATCGGATCCTAACAGATAGTAGTGTCTCTTGAAGATTACTTGATGTATGATAAAACAATAATATTATAAATCAAATTGATGTATTTAAAATAATTCTTTCATTTATGTATTACTATTGACATGAAAATAAAAAACCTAAAAATATAATGATGATGATGATGGATGCAATTGAGAGTTATAAAAAATATTTTTCCTTTAAAAAATGTAGACTAGAAACATGTTTAGATTAATAAGGCACACTCAATAAGTTAGAATATACTTTGTACATTTTAAACCAATATTACATTCGATTAAATAAGTAATTTTCTGTTAATAAAGCTAAACAACAAAATCATTTTTTCCCGTGCACGGCACGGGTAAAAATACTAGTACATATTAAAAACATTTATTACGGCGTGCATTTGCGCAGTATGTTTTCACTTTATGAAAAGTAATCAAAGTATTACGGAGTATTATTTGGCGTCAAATGTCGTAAAACTTTGACAAATGCAAGACAAGCTAGTAGGGGTGGGATCGGGTCGGGTTGGGTCAGGTTTTGGTTAGGACCGTAAAAACCCGAAAAGTATCGGGTTCTACATTTTTTGGCTCGACCGGAGGACCAATACTTTCGGGTTTGTCCGGGTTTTAAGAGCCTCGGGTTCGAGTTGGGTTCGGGTTGGGTTGAACCCGGAAAAAAAATCAAACTGAGATATTTAAAAACAATTGAAATACAATCACAAAAAATTGAAAATATCTAAAGTTTTAATAAAAAAAATACATGTAGTATATTAAAACCAAAGCAAAGTATTTTGAATCTAAAAATCACACGATAGAAAATGTGGTAAAAGAACAATTGGTTCGAAAGCAAAGTAATATTTCCCTCCGTCCCAAATTGATTTACAAACTAAAGATTTTTTTGGTCAACCAATGTTAAAGTTAAATACTCCATATTGATACTTAATTCAATTTTTAATAATTAAATTTTACATATTAAAAAACTACATTAAAATCTATTCAATGCTGAAAACTCCAAATTAAATATAATTTAAAATTGACATTCAAATTAAGTGAATAAAATGAAATTGTTTGACTAACAAAGTCAATTTTGCAAATCAATTTAGGAAAGATGTAGTATAAAATAGTTCATACGTATTATCTATATATAAATCGGTATGATGTATTAATAGGCCATACGTATTTTATATAAATTATATATTTTTTAGTTTCTTAATTAAATCGGGTTTTTCGGTCCGGGTCGGGCTTAAAATTTTCGAACCCAAATTACGACCCAAGTTTTCGGGTTCGGGTCAGGTATTTTAACCCGGACCGGTCATTTTTAAAATAAAACCCGGACCATTGTCATATATCGGGTTGGGTTGGTTCAGTTATCGAGTTTATGGTCGGTTTTTCCCAAAATATTCATTTTACTATTATCCCCGTTATAGTAGTAATAATATCACTGATAATTGATGAGTTTAAAAATATCATTAACATTTTCCCAATTTAAAAGTATTTAGGAATCAATATAATTTTTATTGAATTAATAAATTAATTCATTCAAAATGTATATTTTCAAAATTGGTTGATTTGTCATTTGTGGGGTCTATTTAAGAGGGAAACATTGTAGGTAACCTTTGGGGTATCAAGTTGCTGGAAAATGTATTAGTTAAGGCTGATGTGGCAAACAAAGCTACAACGTGTATAGTTAGTCATTGGGGATACTCTAAGCCAATTACATAAAACCATTGCGGTTATTTTAGGGGGTCCCCAATTTGGATTCTGGAGGATTTTAATGGAGTTGAAATCTGTAAGGGTGTCCCCGATTTGGATTTCTATGGAATCCATGAAAATAGGGGTGTCCTGAAGCACTCCATCAATTTGTTTTGCTATTTATTTGGATGGATTTTAATGTATTTGGATGGATTTCTATATACAAAAATATTCCACCACAAATCTTGTAGAATTTCTCGGATTTCAAAATCCATTAATCTTTTAAAAACCATTCAACTCCTAATTGGGGACACCCCTTAGTTGATAACCACTTCATAGTGAATCACTCATACAACACGGAAAAAAAATTATCCGATGGTGATTACCATCGGAAATATCAACAATAAGTATCAACGAAAGTAGCTCATCATAGGCTATGGCTATGTTTGACAGGCAAAAGTCCATGCCTTCTAACTTTTGTATTATTTAAAAAGTCTCTAAAAGCTCCTAATTGTATGTTTGGTATAACAATTATAAGAGCTTTTCAAAAAATAAAAAGCTCTTTTTTGAGATGCTACAGGTGGTAGCATCTGAAAAAAGTTTGTGACCAGGGGCGGCTTGAGCGTATCGAGGGCCCTAGGCAAAAAAATATTTATTATACACAAATCATATTGAAAATGAGATAAATTGATTAAAAAACAAAATATGAAAAAAAGATTTTGCAAAGTGCTGGATATAGAATTATGTTCAAAATGATAAGTTTCCAAATGCAGACATATACTCAAAATCAATTAATAAAGAGTGGTACGGAGTATAAAATACACCATTGACGTCAAAACCTACATATTTATAGAGAATACAACATTTTCAAACAAACCAATTATACTAGTATCACTCTTAATTAAGGGAGTTGTTTTGGATGGTGTGTGCAATTACAACTTACAAGGAGAGAAAAACTTTTTATTTATAACCGAAAATATTAGCACATATAGATCATGAATTAATTATGAGCCACACAATTTCCATCATGAAAACATAATTATGATTTCCTAATTATTTTGGTAAAGATAACAATGACTACCAAATCATATTTAATTAGAAGATAACAATAATCCATTATTTCTCAACAAATTATACTAAACTTTTCTAAAAAAAAAACAAATTATACTAAATAATAGTAATATTATTATTAATATTAGTCAACTATGGTGATTATACCGATACAGAATAGTAATTTTAATATAATCATGCCGTCTATATACTTGTTTTGATATCAAGCAAGTTATTACAAAATTCATGCTCAGATGATTTAGTTCTACTATACTACGCATATGTCCGCGCTGATATCTCATAGGAGGCATATACACATGTGTGCTTATACTGTAATTACATTTCCCATATCGGTTGGAAATAAAACATTGCCCTCCGCGTAGACTTATAAAAAGGAGTACGGTGAAACTCATGATTCGTAAACAACTTGAGCTGCCAGCTGTTGATGAGGCTTTTAGGTGAGCTGGCCCTTCGAAGGCTTGTGTTCGGACCATAAAATAAGAACGAAGTACTAAATTATGTTTTGAGGCCCTATCGGCAAACGATAGGGCCTCAAAACAATTACTACCTTTTACTTTTAAGATCTTTTCACTCACTAAAAGCTAACAGTTACTTTTGGCAACTGGTCTCAAAGCCGGCTCTGTTTGTGACTTTTGGCATTAATTAGTCCCAACAGCTTCCGTACCAAACAGAACTAAACCAAACAGTCAGCTTTTTCCCAAACAATTACTACCTTTTACTTTTAAGATCTTTTCACTCACTAAAAGCTAACAGTTACTAAACAGTCTGTAAAAGTATCTTTTTAACGAGTTGTGCCAAACATACCCTATGTTTGGCACACTAAAGACTCTAACTTCTAACTTCTCTATTCTTTAAAAAGACCTTAAAAGACTCTAGTTGTATGTTTGGCATGATATTTTTTAAGAGCTTTTCGAAAATTAAAAGCTCTTTTTTTAGATGCTACCGGGTGTAGCATCTGAGAAAAGCTCGTGACTTTTAGTATTAATTAATCCAAACAGCTTGTATACCAAACAGAACTAAATCAAACAGTCGGCTTTTTACCAAACAGCTATCACCTTTTCTTTTTAACATCTTTTCAGTCACTAAAAGTTAACAGTTATTAAAAAGCTCACAAAAGTATCTTTTCAGCTAGTTGTGCCAAACATACCCATAACAAAGTAGCTCAAACAATTTAGAGAGTCATTTTACTTTAATTCATCATATTCCCAAGCCAAAAATAGGTAAACTTTGGCTCCATTTTTATGAAGATTTTAATAAATGAAAAAAATGATTATGAAATTAAAATACGAAAATCAATGAATGTATTTCACCCTTATTTATTTTTGGACTACACATGTGTTTTGAGGCCATTTATAGGCTAAAGGTTAATATAGGCCCTCGAACTAACTTAAAAAGTGCAATTCACCCTTTATATAGGAGGCTCCATCCGGCCGTCGTCATTTGGGGCGGTTCCCGGTGGAATTTTTTGATGAATTTTTTTTAGCAACGTCTTCATTAAGTCTAGTTTACTCATACAAAAGTTTAGCTAAAAATTAAATCGGGAAGGCAGTCAAATGAATTTTTGAAGATAATTGCGCAGTATATTTCAGAAAATAATTTGACTGTCTTCCCAGTTGAATTTTTATCTGACATTTGGTATGGGTAAACTAGACTTAATGAAGAAGATGCTCAAATAATTTCATCAAAAAATTCCACCGGGAACTTCCCCAAATGACGACAGCCGGACATAATCTCCTATATAATGGGTCAATTGCACTTTTTATGTTAGTTCGAGGGCTTATTTAATCCCTTAGCCTTCTTTATATGGTAGTGTGTGACTTATTTAATGCATTTCTAGTCATAAAATGATAGAAAAAAACATGGTTGATTATATTATGGAACCTGACATGAGTTTTGGTAACACATACTTCGTATACAAATTTCTCATAGTTACTATTAGAGCTCGTTCGGTAACACTGAAATTAGTTTAGTCGGCTGGTTTTACTGGAATTTATGAAATTAATACGGAAGTGGTTGGATTGGCTGATTTTATTTAATTATGAAAAAATTATGTATTTTTGTATAGTATAAAAAAATATATTTAAGATGTATTTTATTAATAAAACAAAGAAAAAACTATATAAAAAATAACTACAACTTTCTTCTATAGTGACTACAGTTAATTTCGCCAGAAAAGTAATTCTAATCTTGCTTATTCCGTATTTGATTATTACCGACTTCAGCACGCAAAATAAATAATTATGTGTTTAATGAAAATGTCGACTAAACGTTGATAAACTGAAATTCAAAATTATGGCTTTAATAAGGCAGGGGTCAATCTTTTCATGGGTTCGCAATCTTTTCTGCGTAGGCGTTGACCAAAGCAAGCGCATTGCTAGTGAACATCTTAAGAGTTTTAACCTGAGCCTGCAATTTAGCATAGGAGCGGGTCCCATCCAGACAATTATCCTGATCCGTCTCGGCGGCACTCATCCACGTCTGTACGTTGTTCACCATCATCGCCGCCGAGCCGCCGACTAGCTCTTTCATCTGCTTGACCGACCTCTGTATCTCGTACAGGGAATCCTTCAGATGGCCGGAGCATTCTTTGAGGATCTCGGAATTGTGTTGGAGAGAGTTGTTTCCGACATAAGCGGCGACGGAGTTGGCTTTCTTCAGGCTGATGATAATGGCGACCCTAGCCAGCATGGTGGTGTTTTTATTCACGACCCTAGCGTAGGGGGAGAGCGACTTTAGGCATAACTTCTGGTAGAGTACTGTAGAGGTATTGCAGCCGGTGAGGATGAAGTCGGTCTCCGCTGAGGTGGCGGTGTGGTTGACGGCGGCGGCGGAGGATGGCCTTGAGTTAAAGGCAAGAGTGATGAGGAAGATTAGAGAAAATGAAAGAGAGGTTTTCATGGTTTGGGTTCTAGTATAGCTTTGGGGTTTCAACTTAAGCTTATGTCAAGTGAGAGAGAATGGTGCCCAATTAAGTGGGGGTTTAAATACATGCAAAGAAGTCATCTTTGAAATTGACGAAATTAAAATTACTTATATAATAGGGAGTGCTACCTATCTTCTTAAATAAGTGAAATTTTACAGTACTCGTATGTTTTTCTTTGACTACATTTTATTTGTTAAGTATTAGTATTTTGTTGAAAAAATGTTGTTAAATTTGTCTTGTAAATTTTCAAAATTCTATTTTTAATGTTTTTTATAAATAGAGAATTAAATATATAAATATATATTTATGGTCAAAGTTGTACATTTACAAATATGAAAAGTTGACCGTTGCACTTAAGAATGTATGAAATTAAATGTTTATATATAAAATAAAATAACACATATGTGTGAGTAAAAAGGAATAATGTTTCATTACATTTGGGTATGAAATTTTACAAATCTGATTTTCCTTTTGGTAAAAATGAAAATATTTGGGTTTGAAACGGGAATTAATCGGTTTGGTTGGATCTGCTTTATTTCAAGTAGCTGAGTTCAAAATAATAGTTATAGTTATTCAAAGTAACAATAACATTATATTTTCCATTCCTAAACATTAACAATAAGTCAATAACATCAATTTTCCATTCCTAATGAGTAGTTACAATTACATTAAAACTAAAAGCTTTAAACAACGAGTTTTTTCTTAAAACATTACTAATTACTAATATAATAAAAAATCTATGGAAAAAGTGTGACTATAAGTTACTATGTATAAGTATTATAGTAAGTGTAATGTAATATTTGAATACAATTATAGTCACTAAATTTATCATGATAACATTTTTATTCATTATATTACATTTATTTTGAATATATATTTGAAATTATTTCATAAATAATACGGAGTAATATATTGTTGACAACGGATTTCAATGTTCTATTTAACGTAACTAACCTAAAAAATACACCAAAAAAGTTTTGTTTTACCAATTACTCCAACTTCTATGACATAAACATCATTTTAATTTTCACACTTTCTACTGATAACCACATGCTATCCCAAACACTAAATACGGCAAACATATTTCCAAATTCGTGCATCCTATATCACTCATGCGGCGATCTCTGCACCGTATGTATGTCAGTATGTGGTTGCCAAAATGTCAACAATAGCTTAGTGATTGTGTTTTTCAATTCTACAAATAGAATATCTAAACTTTTTAGGTTATACCCCACTTCCCACATGCACAAATAGAGAGCGGATTCATGAATTTAGCATATCTATCTCCTTTCCCACTGTGTCTATATGAATTTTTATTTTTTGCACGAATTTATACATATTCCCACAAAATTCCCTATAAATTTTGACAAATTATATCCTGTCAAAATACATGTCAATCCCGTATGTTTTTTGTAGTGTACTAATTGTTATACATTTTGAGATGACAATATACTTCGTATTAAACATCGATCATCAATTTAATGTCAGCAAATGATAGAGTGAATTAATTGTATTTATTGCATAGAAAAAGGATTCAAATGCTAGAATTATTAATTTGAGGACTATTTATTCTTTTAACCCTATTAATTGATCATCCGAAAAAAAAAAAGTGAAAATTGATGTTTCTCGTTTGACTACTACATTACTACTGCGTATTGAATTTAAAAAATCCTGCTAAAATCTAGCAAGCTATGATTGATGGTGATCTTGCAAAACACAAAGTCAAACGTCAACGCCCATAAATATATTCCATTCTGGAGATATTCCCTTTGTTCATCTAGCTCACTGATTTGAGTGATTTCCGCTCTTCAATCAAGCTTAAAGAGTTACGGATCAAATCATGATGATCAATACTCCCTACATAGACTCCATTGATTGAGAGTAATAATTTGGGTACAAGAAATTGACCTAAATGGCTACACAAGAGGGTAAAACTGTGCTATTTTCTAAATTTGACAATAACTAAAGAACAAAAATAAGTTATGAAATTTCAAACGTATTTACTCATGATTCAATTTTTCCAATTGGAATCGTGCATATTTAAGTTACAGTGAACGTCACATGCAGTCATGCAGAATAAGTGAATAACATACATCAAGACACAATCATAATTTATCGTAAAAATTGTTCCTTTTGATGGGAAATGCCTATTAAAGAATTTCTAATTTTTGTAGAAAGTGTAGACAATTTATATAACTAAAACTAGTCAATAACAGGTAAATATTAGAAAATTCTTTTTTACTCACCCTAAGTGTACATGTCTATGTACGAGTCCCATTTGAACCGTGTCACCAACATATTTTTGTTTTTAAGACAAATTACTTGTGACACCCGCAAAAGTTTGGTTAAAAGATTGGAATTTTTATCGATGTAAAGGCAATTCACCCACAAAAGTTTTCATTGACGCGGGGCATGTGCTCCTGGAGCTTGCCACGTGCACACCAAGCCTCTCTGTATATATTATTGTCAACATAGCATATGCATGTAATGATACACGTGTAATTTCCGTGTGTATGTTTACGTTTTTAGTTAGTTTTTGTTGTTTAATATTTCGGAAATTACACACTTTTGGTGTAATGGTTATGTTTGTAATTTAGTTGTAATTCATTTAGATTAGAGTATCATTCTGAGCTTAAACATGTCCAAGATCAATCAAATGATCATTGGTGAAGGAGGGTGCAAGAGTACAAGACAAAAAGAATGCAAATCCCTGATTTTTGACCTGTACCTGGTCGAGTATACCATAAACTCGATCGCGTACCAACTTGAGTTTCAATCAGATCAATCAGGAAACAAAGGGACGTGCAGGGGAAGATTTGGCCACGATCAGTTGTCATACCCGACCGGGTACACTGACACACCCGATCGGGTATGCCTTTTATTTTTACCCTGGAATCGATCGAGTAAAGCTCGAATATAACATTTTACACATACCCGATCGGGTATACACCAGTACTCGATCGGGTACCCGAACTGCACTCCCAAAAAACCTATAAATACACCCCCTTCCTTGAATATTAATTCTTCTTTTAAATACTATTTCTATATCAATGTTGGGGAGTGTTACTAAGATGACAATTAGTTAACATCTTGACATTGGTCTTAGTAATAGCTATTTCTTCTTCTATGTTGATATTGGGGAGTGTTACTAAGATGACAATTAGTTAACATCTTGATATTAACTATAGTAGGATTCATCTTCTTTAGTATTCTTCCTTGAGTATTAATTAATTCCTATTCATATTTCATATTAATATTTTGAACATTACTTAAAGGATCAACTAGTTTTGTTTCATATATTAATTATTACGAGAAACAATCAACGAACCGATGGTTAATCGTTTATAGTTTCACAAGTAAGTAACTTCGGTTTATTAATGCACGGTCGTGGTTAATAAACTTAAGAGGGATTAATTTTGTTGGTTAAACCGAAACCGTTGTTTTGAGGTTATCAATCTCAATTAATTTCATCAAGAAGTTAAGAGATTAAATGCTACTATCAAGTCGGTATATGGCGTTGTTCTATACTTGACTAATAGTAAGGGTTATTAATGAACGGTCGTTGTTAATAACTACCCTCAATGAATTGGATATACTCCTCGATTGAGTATTCGAGAGGAGATAAGTTATAGATATAACAATGATCGACTAAAATATATCAACAAGTGAAAAGTAGCAATGCCAAGTCCCTTTTATTCTTGAATTAAATCACATATAAGTCGTTCATCTTCGTGTTTAAATTAATTAAATCACTCAATCACAACCCCCCCTTTATTTACTAGTTACATAAAAAGAGAGTTATTCCTTTTCTTGTGGATACGAACTCTACTTCACCTATACTACGTATAAGTGTTAGTATTAAATATTATTTTGACGCACCGTGACAAAGTGCACGTCAAATTTGGCGCCGTTGCCGGGGAAAGGCAACTAATTTTTCTTTTTATTTTATTTTAAGAAAAAGAAAAAAATATAGTATTCAAGTATAAAGATTTCTATTTCTTCTGAGCTTTTTAGTATATGGTAAAATATCGTTCACTGAACGAAATCACCTACCACTCAAACCCCGAAATAGAACAAACTCTCGAGCGGTTGAAAAACAAATTCTCAAACTCCGACTCGGGAGAATCATCAAGTGCTAGTTCTCAATCTAGCAAGAACGAAGAGCCATTCATTATGGCTCAAGAAACAAGAACATTGAGGGAGCTCACGGCTCCGAATCTTAATCAACAACCCCTATGTATCACTTTTCTAACTCTTGATACAGGGGTCACATTTGAGCTAAAATCTGGGCTCATTCATCTCCTTCCATCTTTTCATGGTCTACGAGGGGAAGATCCAAACAAACACTTGTCAGAGTTCCATATTGTGTGCACAAGCATGTGCCCCAATGGTGTCTCGGAAGAGCAAATCAAACTGAGAGCTTTTCCATTTTCTCTGAAAGACACTGCGAAGGATTGACTTTTGTATCTTCTTTTTGGAAGTATCACTACATGGCCACAAATGAAGAAGGCTTTCCTTGAAAGGTACTACCCCGCTTCTATTTCATCATCACTCAAAAAACAAATAAGCAACATTGAACAAAAAGATGATGAATCTCTATATGAATATTGGGAGAGATTCAAGAAGTTATGTGCTAGTTGCCCCTATCACGGATACACCGAACAAGACCTCATTCTCTACTTTTACGATGGTCTTGTGGATCAAGATCGCCGCATGGTGAATGCAGCGTGTGGAGGGGGCATTGTCAACAAAACCCCTTCCCAAGCAAGAGATCTCATCTCAGCGTGTTAACTGATTTTCACATTTTTCTATTTAAAGGCCCCGTTCTTGGCCGTTTTCGACACATGAGCTTAGAGAGATAAACCCTAGGTCGATTTTTGAGAGCTTTTCAAGCCGTGGATTGTCAAGATTTGGGGATTGTTTGTAAGTTTAATCTTTTTAATTAATGACAATTAATTGTTTTCACCCCAATTCTATTGATTCTTCAATCATGAGTTGTGGGTAGTTTTAATTAGAGATTTAGGATTGATGAAGAAGTTATTCATGATGTATGCTTAGTTTCTTGATGGTTTAAAATTTAAATTGCATGAATCTTTATTTAATTTGTGTATGAGAGATCTAGTTTATTCTAAGAGATTAGTAGCGATTAAGGAGTCATAGGCTCGCTTGTTTTGGCAATAATTTTAGACATCTGTCGCATAAGAGATCAGCCTGGTTCCCTAAATTATTGTACTCTACGCCGCGAGAGCGGTTAGAACTTAGTATTCATTAGTGTAGCTCAATTAAATGATTTTCATGTGATTACTCCTGATCAGCCAGAAATCTGATTACCCCGGAATCAATCTCTGTTCCCTTTGTCATTAATTAGAAAGAACCCTTTATTTTAATCGTTTAGTCGCATTTTAATTTTCCAACAAATCAACCTCGCACACTTGCAATTTATTTAATTTTATTTTAATCGCTGAATTTAATTAATTTCTGATTCCTTTTTTCCATCCCTGTGGAGACGATATTCGTACTTGCACCACTACTCGTAAGTGCGAGATAACTCACATCAGTTTTGGCGTCGTTGTCGGGGACGATGTCGGTCTTAAGGGTTAATTAGACTCAGCGACTTGTTTATAGTTTTTTTTGTATGATTTGTGTCTGCTAACCTTGCAAGTCAGATATGTTAATGTATACACACTCTAAGATGGGAGAACCGCTTGTCCCTCTTAATCTTGAGAAGCTTGGTAGACAGAATCGCAAGGCTCTACGAGAACAAAGCTAGAATAGCCATGAAACCATCATCATCTGGAACTGCAGGGACGTCTGGTGTCCCTACCACAACTTCTCCACTTGATTTATACGTCAACACCTCACCACAATCTTCACCACCTGTTTCACCAAGACGCCCTCCTGGTTTGCAGAACTTTCGCACTCCATTCTTTCCCCAAAATCAGTCCACACCCCAAATAAACCTTCCCTCATTATTCCAACTCTTCCAAAATGCCTCTACTGGTCCTGAAACTACTTTTCAAAACCAAGCCTATGGGATGCAAGGAGCAGGGCAAAACATTCATGTTTTCCAACCTAGACAAAACATACCGCCAGTCAAGGTTGTTAAAATCGTATTTTTTGATCGAATCGGAATAAAGGTTCAAAAATCGAATCATAAAATCGAATCGTAAATCGTAAGATTTTATAATAATAAAAATTATTAAAAAATTACATAAAAGGAAATGTGCAATTTATCATTTATAAGTCAATTTATTTCAAATTTAAGTCTGCTAGTTAAAATATTATATGTTTTTTTGTCTTATAATGATATCTTAATTAAAGTGCACCAAATAATGTTATGTAATCAAAGAGAAAAAGTCATTCAATAAATAAATATAATTTTATAATCAAGTTTTAGAATGGTAAAATTATATAAATACGGAGATTGCTAAATTTTTTAGAATAGAAATAACAGCTAAGTTAATATAAGTATGTTTAAATTATATAACTATAGGGGAAACCAGTTGAAGGTTGGTTTGAGAGCTTCTCTCTCCAGACTTCTTTGGGTCTCTTCCAAAAGTTCTGGATGTCAACCTAGCAACTCTTCTTAGACTTAGTAATCTTCAATCTGGACTCTGGCTTTCAGGAAGTTCACATTCCCACCTTCCCCAATAATGGGGAAAGGCAGAGGTAACTTTAAGAATACAAAGTCAACAAACACACACAAGAAAGATGGGGAACCCAACTCTTCTGTAGATGGGGAGATGCTCGGTGGAGGTAAGAACTCGATGACTATGGAGAACAAAGACTGCTCATTCTTAGAGGTAATACAGGAAAGTGAAGCAATAGAGGAGACCAACATGGAAGCAGGGGATAACATTCAATCCGATTTGGTGGTTACACCTGCACGCCAACTGTTTGATTTAAATGGTGAACCAGAAAAAGAGAAGACTGCCAAACCTTCATGGGCAGGCCTCTTTAAAGACAATAGAGCACCTTCAAAAGGAATGAAACTGAGATATATCCCTACTGAAGGTGATTATGTAGACATGATCATTGGAGAACCAATAAATATGGTGGAGGTATGGGGCTTTTGTTTGGTTGGCTTCTTTACAGGAAGATTCCCCGGGTTAAAAGCAGTGTATAAACTCATGGAAAGCTGGGGCGTTAGATGTAAACTTCTGCCACATTGCAGAGGATGGTTAGTCTTTCAATTTAAAACTGATGAGGACAGGTCAAGAGTACTACTGGATGGGCCATATGATGTTGGTGGTAGAATGCTAATGCTGAAAGAATTGTGTGAAGACTTCTCCTTTGATGATGAAGAGTTCCTTAAGGTCCCTCTATGGGTTAAATTCCCAAACTTTCCTATGGAATGCTGGACTGAGGAGAAAATTAGCCTGGTTGCATCTAAAGTGGGACAACCAATTTACACAGATGGTGTCACTAATGAGAAAACCAAGCTGGACTATGTCAGAGTTCTCATAGAAGTAGACATATCAAAACCCCCTCCGCTTAGAGTTAAACTGAGATTGAAATCTGGTAGGTTTTTTAATCTGTTTGTGATATACGAAACATTTCCAAACTACTGTTTCCACTGCAAGAAGTTTGGACATCACCCGTTTAATTGCAAAACACTACATCAATGGGAAAGGGATCAATGGGAGGAGAAGGAGAAAAGTAAGAGGGAACCTAATAATAAAATCGCAGAGCTGGACAGTGAGAATGTGCAGGTGTTACCAGAAAAAGAAAACCACAATGTCATTACTACTATAGTAGAGACCATTGATGAGGTACAAGAGGCCAATGAAGTTACCGCAAAAGAAGTTGACAGAGAGAAAAATGGAACTCAGACGATAACTGAAAACAGAATCAATGAAAAGAATGCTAGTAAAGATAAAGAGAAAGAAACGGCGCCCTCTCACGGCTGTCAGACTCATCAGCGAGGACAAATTAAAGCACTGACTCCCTCTCAGGATAGTGAAGGTCATCAGGGTGGGCAAACTGACATGGGAACTAGGAGTAAACCAGGTGGTAGCAATGCACTAAAACATGTTCCAGCTTCTACTGATCATGGTGGCACCCAAAAAACTAAACATAACAGTCAGAAGTTGAGTAAAGGGGAAAATAGTGGGGGTGGTGGTACTCTCAATCAACGGTTTAAATGAAGTTGCTCTCTTGGAATGTAAGAGGCCTCAATAGAGCCTCTAAACTTGTAGATATTAATAAATATATTAAGAAGTTTGACATTGCTTTTTGTTGTTTGTTGGAAACCAAGTTGAGAGATAGCCAGAAACTGGAGTTTTTTGCTACTACAAAATTGAGGGGATGGAAGAATGCGAATAATTTTGCTAAAATAGGGGGAGGAAGGATAGCTGTATTATGGGATGTAGCTAGAGTGAGCTGTGAAATCCTGGTGGTTGAGGATCAATTTATCCAATGCAAGGTTAAGTGTCTGGTTACTCAGGTGTCTTTTGCTATCACTGTTGTCTATGCTTTATATACGGTGGGGGAGAGGAGACAACTGTGGAACCATATTACTGCTCTGGGACAGTCAATTAGCCTTCCATGGGTCATTATGGGCGATTTCAACTCTGTTTGCTATCCAAGAGAGAGGAAGGGAAGTAAAGACCCGGCTGATTACTTCATGAAGGATCTTATGGAATGTAGGAATATACTTAATCTAGAGGATGCTCCTTCTATTGGAACTGAGTTTACTTGGACAAGAGGGAATAAATGGGCGAAGTTAGACAGAGTCCTGCTAAACCAAAACTGGAAATCCAATGGATTGAATTGCTCAGCAGATTTTAAAGACTTTGAAGACATATCAGATCATTGTCCGGTGATTACTTCTGTGTTAAGTAATGAAAAGGGGTGGCACAAACCCTTTAAATTCTTTAATATGTGGATGAAACATCCAAGATTTAAAGAGGTTGTTAAAAATGTGTGGGACAGTAACATTGAGGGGAATGCACAGTTTAAACTCTGTCTTAAGTTGAAGATGTTGAAAGCTCCTTTGAAGAACTTAAACCGGGATGAGTTTGCTAATATCTCCTCAAAAAGCAAGGAGGCAAAACAGAGATTCAAAGACATACAAAAAATGCTTCTGATAGATCCTGAAAACCAGACTCTTCTGGAAGAAGTCAAGAGAGCTAGGAAAGAAACTACCTTCCTCGCTGAAGCCGAACTATCTTTCTATCAGCAAAGAGCAAAAACCAATCACCTCGTTGAAGCCGATAGGTGTACCAAGTATTTTCATCAGATCACAAAGAGAAACTCAGCTAGGAACTACATTGCCTCTATCAGGAAGGATAACGGTCAAATGACAAATTCATTTAAAGAAGTGACTGAGGAATTCGTTAACTACTTTGAAACTGTGTTGGGCAAATCTCAACCCTGTAAAAAGCTAGACCAAGAAGTGATGAAAAGTGGATGTTTGGTTTACAATTCAATAGCTGGAAGACTTATAGCCCCTATAACTCATCAGGAAGTCAAAGAGGCAGTTTTTGATATAGGAGATGATAAGTCCCCAGGGCCTGATGGGTTCTCTTCTGGATTCTTCAAAAGTAACTAGGATATGGTTGGAGAAGATTTTACCAATGCAGTGATGGAGTTCTTTGAGAAAGGAAAGATCCTCAAACAAATCAACCATACTAGTATAGCCTTGATTCCTAAAAGCAATCATGAAGCCTCTGCTACTGATTTTAGGCCCATTTCATGTGCTAATGTGACATACAAAACAATTTCTAAGATTTTGGCGGTTAGGATGGCACCTATTCTGTCAGAAATTATTAATCCAGCTCAGAGTTCCTTTGTTGAAGGGAGGGGAATTACAGACAACATCTTTTTGGCCCAAGAACTTGTGAGAGGATATGCTAGAAAGTCAATATCCCCGAGATGCCTTTTAAAGGTGGACTTGAAGAAAGCGTATGATACCATATGTTGGGATTTTTTAAAGGATGCTCTAACAGTGCTTGGCTTTCCTTCTATTTTTGTGGGCTGGATATGGGAATGTATCAGTACCCCTACATTCTCTATATCAATTAATGGAAGTTTACATGGCTTCATTAAAGGTAGGAGAGGACTAAGGCAGGGGGACCCTATGTCACCTACTTTGTTTCTGATTTGTATGGAGTATCTTTCTCGACTCATGTGTAAGGAAACATCCAAACCAGATTTTAATTTTCACCCGAAGTGTGGCCAACTGAAAATATCCCATCTAATATTCGCAGATGATCTTATGCTCTATTCAAGAGGGGACCTGGCTTCTATTCAAGTTCTTTTAAAGTGTATGGCTGATTTTCAGGAGGTATCTGGGCTATCAATTAATATAGCTAAATCAAATATTTTCTTAGCTGGGGTTCATGGGCAGGAGCGGGAGCTGATTCTGAATTTGGTGGGCATTCTGACTGGGCAGTTTCCAGTGAGATACCTGGGAGTGCCTTTGGCCCCTAGCAGGGTGTCAGTAGCCCAATACTCTCCTCTTATTGAAAAAATAGCTAACTTTACATTGAAATGGAAAACAAATAGCATGAGCTATGCTGGCAGGTTGGAACTCATTCGAGCAGTTATACAAGGAATCCAATCCTATTGGATCCAAGTTTTTCCTATTCCAGTGGCAGTCATTGAGAAGGTTGTTTCACATTGTAGACAGTTTTTGTGGGGTAGCCCTAACGCCAAAGTGGCTTGGGCAGATGTGTGTAGACCAAAAGAGGAAGGAGGGTTAGGCCTTAAAGACTGTAAAATATGGAATTCTGCACTACTCTCTAAAACACTTTGGAATATCCACCTAAAGAAGGATACTTTATGGGTTCGGTGGGTGCATTGTGTATATCTCCGAAACTGCTCCATGTGGGACTGGATACCTCCCGATGGAGTGTCCCCCCTTTTTAGCAAGTTAATAAAGATCACGGAGGCATTGAGTACACTGTTGGGAGGGAAGTCAGGTATTATTTCTACTCTCAACAACATCTATACCAATGGTAAGCTTCAGTCAAACAAAGTTTATGACATTTTGAGGGTTAAAGGTCATAGCAAACCTTGGATGAACCTTATTTGGAAAAATTACATACCCCCAAAATTCTCTTTTATTCTTTGGCTTGGACTGAGAAACAGACTACCAACGTGTGATAACTTGCTATACATAGATATGGATAGAGCATGTTGCTTTTGTAAGACTTACATGGACTCATCTGATCATCTTTTCTTCAAATGTGTATTTACGGGAGCAATCTGGGAAGGAGTTAGGCAGTGGCTTAAGATCAAGAAGAATTCTTCTACACTCTTGAGCACAGTCAAGTTATGTTTGAAGCAGTATGGAGGAGCAAGATTGACTAGCAAGGCTGTCAGGCTAGCCTTGTGTTGCACTGTCTATTCAATTTGGAAGGCTAGGAATGAGCAAATCTTTGGACATGAAGATGCTACTATCGAGGGAGTACTCTTTCAGATTAAGTTACATGTTTATCGTGCTCTGTTTAGACTTTACCCCGTAAGTATGATTGAGTTTTGATTCTCCTTTTTCTAGTTCTCAGTTGCTATGAAATTTGAGTGACCTGATGTTACTATGTTAGTTATGTATTACTGTGAGAGAGTTGTTTGCTGTTGTCTTTTTGAAACTATAGTATGGTTGCTTCTTTGATTGGGGAATGCCCCTCTAAATGTTGTAATCTAATTTTGGCATTTAATGTATATTTACCTTTTTTACCAAAAAAAAAATTATATAACTATATGCTTAAAATTTACTACATACGAATAAGTACGTAGTATATAACTATGTTCTTACTAAATCACATTCTATGGCAGTTGCTCAGCCAATGGTGGGTGCGTTCAATCCGTAGTTTAGAACGGAGGTTTTTTTCTCAAATCCATCTTTCCCATACCGGATAGACAAGGCAAAATGCCCTTCATATAGCGCTATATAATGCTGATGCCATTTGGGACGACGGCAGGACACAGCACCGTAAGCACCTATGGGCCAGAGCAACTCGGGCCTTGTTTCGCTTTAGGTTGGCCCATGTTTGGCTTGAGTAAAAAAGAAATGCTTAAAATCGTAAAATCGGATGTAATCGTGATTTTAGACGATTTTGCCCGATTTCAAAATGATTTTATGCGATTTTAAATATTTCCGATTATGTTCACAAGTCAAATCGGCTTATAGATGTTGAATCGTAAAATTGTCTGATTTTATGATTTAACTCGCGATTTTGATAACCTTGCCGCCAGTCACTCAAAATCCATTCCAGAATCAGCCATAATACCAGAATCCATTCCAGAACCAATACCGTCAGCCGCACAACGTACAACCAATACCGTCAGCCGCACAACGTACAACCTGCTCCACAAAGACCAGCTTTCCAACCTAGATAGCAGGCCCCTCCTTTTGATGCTAATACTTTTGTCCCACACGACAACCCGCTCTACCAGGGACAGACCATTGCAGAGTTCCTTACTCTCGAGGTTTTTTGAGTATGACAACATTCAAGTGCCGGGAATTACTGTGAACCACTGCGAGATCCCGCCAGCGGTGATAAGCATGGTGTCTAATAACCAGTTTGGAGGAGGACCGACCGAAGATCCAGTGGCACACATTACCCGATTCCTGAGGATGTGCCAGGCTTTCAAGATACCCGGAGTAGCTAATGATCAGGTGCGGCTGATGATTTTCCCTTTCTCACTGAGGGACGATGCGCAGAGGTGGTTGGACAGCAATCCTCACCACCACCTCCAGACTTGGGACCAGGTACATAGTGCCTTCATCAAAGAGTACTTTCTGACATCAAAGGCACCAAAGTTGAAAAAGCAGCTGCAAGAGTTCAATCAGGGATCACCGGAGACATTGGGTGAAGCGTGGAAGAGATTCATGGTGCTGAGAAGGGCTTGCCTTCAAGTGGCAAGATGAGTAACTGTGAGATCATGTCTTTCTTCTATAGCGAGATCAACAATGAAGGGAAGATGATGCTTGATGCCTCTGCGAATGGAGCTTTTCCTACTTTACCAGATGAGGAGGGCGAAGCACTAGTAGAGAAGATCGTTGCTAACAATGCGTCCTGGTACAGATCACGAAGTTCACCCCAACAAATAGCTCCCGGCCTTTATGAGATTAGTGACAATTCTGCCCTTTCTACACGGGTGAATACTTTGGCAAACATGATGCAAAAACTTACAACGAGCGTGGAGGATCTAGGAAAGGTGGAATTTTCTCATTCGGTGCCTAGCGTGAACATGGTAGCCCCTGGACCTATTAGTCCTTCTTGTAGTACGTGTGGGGGACTCCATTGGCCGCATGAATGTTATATGATGGCACACACCTCGGCAGCCCCTGGAGTGGAGCAAGTGGATGCGATTAACTTTCAGAGGCAGGCTATTACCATCAGCCCTACAACCAGCTGCACTATAGGAATTACAATCAGCCCAAGAACCTCAGGCCCCACAACAAGCACCTCAACAGGGTCAAGAGAGCTACGATGCGAGAATCGAGCAAAGACTCTCTAGCTTGGAAGATACACTCCAGAAATTTATGTAAACGACAACTGCTGGATTTCAGACCTTACCAAATCAGATAGGTTAGCTCGCAAAGGCCCAATCTGAAAGACCTATGGGATCCCTCCATAATAACACCAAACCAAATCCAAGAGATCAAGTTCACGTTATCACGCTGAGATTTGGAAGGGATTTTGAACCTGCTGCCACGGAAAAGAAGCCCACGGAAGTTGAATTGACAGAAGCCGTGATAAGTCCGTATTTTGACACGTATTTGATGCGTGTTGAGATCGGCTTTTGATGATTTTCCTAGTTTTAAGGTGTTACAAGTCTTAATTTTAGCTCAAGTTATGTTTACCGGGTGTTGGTTCGAGTTTTGTGTTGTTTGTAGTCAAAATCAGGGAATTTGAGCCCGGCACCGGCACTTGAGGAACAATCGGGATGATTTGAGAAGCATTTGAGAATGATTTGATAGCTTTGGAGGTCACCGGAAGATTAACGATGAAGATTTGAAGGAAAAAGAGCTCTAGGATTGGCTTCAGGATCAAAAGAAGATGAATGAAGCTTGAAAACGACGATCAGAATGACCTTCTGTCAATCGTTCAAGCTTATCTCTTTGTAGGAACAACCAATGGACACCATTAAAGTTTCATAGGAAAGCCAACTTCAAGGGCTATAAATCATATGAAGACACCTTTGCGAGAATCTGAGAGGAAAAAGGTGAAAACAGACGATGAAGTCAGATGATCTCTGCTGCGATTTCAGAAAGACACCTTCCACCGTTTTGATCATATCTCTTGATTGGATGATTCAAATCACATTCGGCAAATTGGGGTGGATAGAGGACTTCATTATCTACAACTTTCATGAAGTAAGTTTTGTCAAATTCGGAAGTTAAGTAGGCACGATCGTGCCCTCAAAGTCAGATACGATCGTGCCTGAAGAGAAAAGCACCGCGAAGTTACTGCCTGCCAGGCACGATCGTGCCTGGAGGGAGGCACTATCGTGCCTGCCCAAAATGCGCGTTTTTGCTCCGGAGGCACGATCGAAGGCACGATCGTGCCTGGCATCGTGTCTGGCTCCGAAAATCCTAATTCAGTTCAAATTTCACCCGATTTTTCTATTTAAACAGCCTGTAAACCCCCGTTTTCGAGGGGGGGAGCTTAGAGAGAGTGCCTAGCACGAATTTTAGAGGGCTTTTTAGCCTTGTTCATCAATCTTTTGAGATTCTTTGTAAGTTCCACCTTTTTAATTAATGACAATTAATTCTTTTTATTCCAATTCTATTGATTCTTCAATAATGAATTGTGAGTAGTTTTAATTAGGGATTTGGGATTGATGAAGGGGTTAATCATGATGTATGACTAGATTCTTGTCGGTTTAATTGCATGAATGCCATTTAATTTGTGTTTGAATAATTTAACTGATATCTCTTGTAACCTAGAATCGCGACTAGAATTACAATTGCATGTAGAATAAATTAAGAGAGATCTAATTTGTTCTAGGACACATTCACACACACTTAATCGTTCGCTAAGAGATTAGTAGCGATTAAGGGGCCGTAAGCTCGCTCGTCTTGGCAATAATTTAGGATCCTGTCGCATGAGAGATCAGCCTGGTCCCCTAAATTATTGTACTCTACGCCGCGAGAGCGGTAAGAACTTAGTAATGATTAGCTAGGCTCAATTAAATTAATTTCATGTAATTAGGCCTGATCTGCTAGAAATCTGGTTACCCCGGAATCGATCCCTGTTCCCTTCGTCATTAATTAGAAAGAACCCCCTAGTTTAATTGTTCGCATTAGTTTTATTTTCCAAACCAACCAATTCTCGCACAACGCTTTTATTTTATTTTCTTTTTAATCGCTGAATTTAATTAATTCTTATTTCCCTTTTGTCCGTCCCTGTGGAGACGATACTCGTACTTACACCACTATATTACGTGCGAGAAAACACACATCAAGCCGCCTCGAAGGAGAAGAAGGAAGAAGAAAGGAAGAAAGAGGTGGAGGCAGCTTCAAATAAGTGTGATAGTGAGGACTTCCCTCCCATTCCCGCAACGATTGAAAGGAAGTGTGATAGCGAGTACTTCAATAAGTTTCTGAACCTCTTTAAACAGTTTCAGATTAACTTTCCATTCATGGATGCGCTACAACAAATGCCAAGGTATGTCAAGTTTATGTAAGAACTCCTCTCTAACAAAAGGAAGTGGGGAGAACCATCATTGGTGGTGCTGAATGAGGAGTGCTTGGCGGTAGTGTTGAAAGAGATGCCTAAAAAGATCAAGGATTCTAGTAAGTTTACTATCCCTTACTCTATTGGAGATTTGATCTTTCGTGATTCTGATAGACTTTGTTGTTTTGGACATGCCCCAAGATCTTGATGTGCCCTTAATTCTTGGAAGGCCTTTTCTAACCACTGCTAGGGCCCTCATAGATGGGGAAGGGATATTTTCGAGGATTGCATTGTAGGCATGGATTCACCTTTGTAATTGAACTTTAATTGCTAATTTTCCTTGGTGAGACTGAGATTAAAATGGGGTAACGTCTAGTGAAAATCTGAAAAATTGAAAAAATTAATTAATATAGCTAGACCTCTTACCTTGCGAAAAAGAGAATGAGAGACCCGGTCAAAAAACTTAAATGTTTTTCCCAATAATATGAGACTTGGGAATCTTTCGAAAGAAATGGCGTTCTCGTGCCAACATGACAAGGAAAACTAAACTCTAATGAATTGAACTTGAAGGCTTTTGCAAAATCTAGCATTAGTCCTTCGCGTATGACGTGCACTTGTCGTGAGGTGCACTCAAAATAAATATCAATACGACACTAATACGTAGTATAGCGAAGTAAGGTTCATATCCACAGGGAAAGGAATATTTCTCTTTTTAATTAACTAGTAACAGAGGGGGGGGGGGGGGGTTTAGATTTGATTTGATTTAATTAACACTAAGATGAATGACTTAAATGAGTTTAATTAATGAGAAGAAGACTTGGCTTTGCTTTTATCCACTTAATGAAATGTTCGTCGATCCCGGTTATATCTTTAACTATCTTCCTCTCGAATACTCAATCGAGGAGTATATCCAGTTCATCGAGGGTAGTTATTAATAACGAGAAGCGTTCATTAATAAAACTTACTATCGAGTCAA